CCTTGTTCGGGACACGATCCTGCCAACTGATGCCCAGGATTCTTCTGAGGCAGCGCATGTGGAAGGCATTGAGTCGTCGTTCTTGGTGGGAGTACAGTGTCCAGGCTTCGCTGCCATACAAGAGCGTGCTGAGTATGCAAGCCTTGTATACCACTAGCTTGGTGTTGGTGGTCAGCATTGCGTTGTCCCAAACGCGTTTCCCAAGGCGAGCCATAACTGTTGCTGCTTTGCCGATGCGTTTGTTTAACTCTGCCTCCAGGGACAGGTTGTTGGAGATGGTGGAACCCAGATAGGTGAACGTGCCTACCACCTCAAGGATGTGGTCATCGATGGAGATTCTAGGAATGCTGCAGACATCCTGGACCATGACTTGGGTCTTCTTGATGCTGATGGTGAGAGCGAACTCGTTACACGCATGAGAGAAGCGGTCCATGAGTCGCTGCAAGGCTGGCTCTGTGTGCGCAGTCAAGGCGGCGTCATCGGCGAACAGCATCTCTCTAATCAGGACCTTGCGAACCTTAGTTTTTGCTCGAAGACGTGCGAGGTTGAAGAGCCTTCCGTCACTTCTGGTGTGCAGGTACACTCCGTCTTCTGACCGATGAAAAGCAAAGGTCAGCAGGAGGGAGAAAAAGATGCCGAAGAGTGTCGGAGCTAGTACGCATCCTTGTTTCACGCCGCTTTTGATTGGGAACGGATCCGAGGATGAACCATCGTACTGGACGGTGCCATACATGTCTTCGTGGAAAGACGAGATCATCCTCAGGAGCTTGGGGGGACAACCAATCCTTTGTAGCAGGGTGAAGAGGCCTTGTCTACTGACCAAGTCGAATGCTTTCGTCAAGTCAATATGTCAATATTTACAATATAACAAAGTTATAACTGATTACAACACGTACTTACATGTGCATCATTTCCATATGATAACAGTTTATGCAAAATGTTAGCATAGATGAATAAAACATTGCAGTGAAACATAGACAAGATATAGTTACATGTAACATTACATGTATACAAATGTATCTGCTCTATGTTTCATTAATAATTTAGCAAGATAGAAATACTGAAATATTAATCTGATACGTGTATGTTGACTGGTTATTGTTGAGCACCTACCAGCTTGTTGTTCTCTCGAATATTCTCCTTGGAGAGTGAACCAAAGTCACTGTGGAACGGAAAAGGAAAGTTAAAGTCATGTCAGGTTACTTTTTTAACATCATCATGTTGTTATAAAATTATGGCCACACCAACTTAATTTGTTGGTTCTCCGATTCACGTCTTCGTTTTTTCTGATTTGCAAAAAAAAAAAAAAAAAGATTCTGGGTCTGAATCAACCCCAAAATGCTCATATTTTGCCCCCAAAAGTTGAGGAAAGTCCTTTCCTTTGTAGGTGTCACAGTTTTTATTTCCATCTAACAATGCAGTGGTCTGATTAAAAGTTCAAAATTCATTGTTAAAATATTATTAACCCAGCCTTTTGTGTTGACTTCATGGCTCCTATCATAGCATTTGCGGCTATAAATAAAATAGGATGCCTAGAGACCTGTTCTTTTTTTTTTTTTTGCCCTGTCACTTCATTTATTTTCTGAAAAAATCCGAGAAACAACAAATTAAAGTGGTGTGGCCTTAACATACATTGTATACTAACATCTTTAATATCATGAAGGCTTGGACCAGAATAAGGTATATAATAATACACTGTGTAGGGACTTACTTGACCTAATAACCCACTTATTCTGCTGTCAGTAGTTTCTATAGGAAGTACATGGAGGGTAGTTTTAAAAAGGTTGAACTGTTGTTTAATTGTTAGCTGTTTAATTGTTAAGTTACACATTAGCACCGATGTACACAGACTGTGACTTGGCCTGAAACCTGTTTACATCAAGGCGATGAGGCACATTTAGAAATGTAAACACTTACGAAAGGTTAGCAAATACATGCAGGCTTGGGCTTCAGTCAAGCATGATTGTTTGATTAACTTTCGTGTGTTTTTTACGTTGTCTTTTTCAATCTATATCTTTTTATTTAACATCTGTGTCCATAATATCACCAGGGTCCATAATATCGCCACCTTGAGAAACAGTGTGCTTTAAGATATTTTTACTGCAACATACTTTTGGTATGCACTCCTGCACACCTCAAATGTACATACCTAGGGTATGTTGCAGTAAAAATGTCTTTAGTTTAAGTACATTATTTCTAAAGGTGGCGATCATATCATGGACCCTGGTGATATTATGGACACAGATGTTACTATAACACAGAAATATGGTGGAAAGTTTACAAAGCAGTTCCTTAGTTCACGGGAATTGACAGATGCCATTTCCTGCTTACGTGTTAAGCCATGGGACTTATTTCCTGTTCAGAGCTCCTAATTAGGCCCTGTATATCCAACACTCACCCCCAGACAGGGAAGTTTTAACCTACGGTTTGTAGCAGGGCTCAAAATACCGGGTGCATGTGCACCTTGGCTTAAGTTTAGTGCACCCAAATTTGGAGCTGTGCACCATATTTTTTTCTGTGGGTGCACCAGTGCACCCAAATATTTTGTATGTGTACGAAGATGTTTAAATCCAGTATACAGCAAATTCTCAACATCTATTAAAGTTTCAGAAAAATAATAAAATAATAAAATCATTCTTGTACTCCTTTTCTTTAGAAATGAAATGTAATTGGTTTTTGCATTCTACTTAATTTTATCTTATATGGTGCACCCCAAAAAGATTGTGCATCCAATATTTTAGGTTAGCTGTTCCCAAAAATGAATTTTGAGCCCTGGTTTGTAGAAATGTGCCAGTGAGGTCATTACAAAGGCATGTGACTCTCACACTCTGCTTCATAAATATTGATGATATCATGGCTTTGTGTGTGGGGATACGAACAACTGTTCATGTCATTTTGCAAAAAAAAAAAAAAAAACACTTCCAGTTGCATCTGTTTTCTTTCTCCAATATGAACAAATAATTGACACTATGTTATTGCCAAAATGGTCGACATTATGTTAATACATTTGTATAATGCTGGCAAGTACTTTGACTTTAGGAGTTGGACTTTGGACTGAAGTTGTTGTGGTCCACATATTTGTTTACACTTTCAGGCCCAAGTGCAAACTCACACGTTTCTTTGATGCAAAATGTTCAAGAAATAATTTATGGAGGATATAAGGCTTATCCATGCGTGGCTTAGTTCTGGTTTTGGTGACTCTGAAAGCGTAACACATCATACTTCCGCCTGATTTTTCAACCCTAGTAGTAGTACCATCCTCTACTTGCACCGTAATTAAGGTAAGGCATTTATAAAACAAATAAGGATCTAGCGGAGTCGAATAAGATGCTGACAGTACAACACTCAAATTATCTTTCATGTGGAAATAATAAGGGCCACATCGACACAATTTTTCCCTTCTTCAGGCCACGTTGTTTGTGAAGAAAATTTACCCACTATATGCGTAAGTTAGAACATGGAAGCCTTTGTTATTTTCATGCCTAACTCGTTCTAAAATTGCATACGAGAGTTTCTGTATACAGAAAGAGGATTGAAATACATTTAGCCTCCACCAGGCCTTTCTACGGGAATACGGATCGTAGATATTCGGCAAAAAAGAGAGTAAAATAAAATTGGCCAAGGGAGTCCGGCCGCGGCCAGTCAAACCTATAGCTACAAGGTGGCCAAACTCCCCCGGCAAATATTCTCCTACATATATATCCAGCGTAGTTAGTCTGGTAGAAACTAGACTTACATGAGGTCTGGCCTGAAGTGGTGTATGATGGCACAGAACGCCATTCCGTCTCGCCACGAAGTCGTCAGATTGGTCACGGAAACCCCGGCGTACCCGGCGGTAACCTGCTTCGCCCACTCCCGAAGGCCCTTCGCCGCCGCCCCGGCCATCCTAACGGGCCCGGACGGACTCGGTTTCCGCTGGAAATATGGTGTTTTAGGTTTTGATCCTCGGCGCTACACGGCCAGCCGTGGTTGTGTGCAGTTTGGGAGCATTTCAGGAACCGGTTATTCAAGTTCGGCAAGACTCACTCACTGATCCATTCAAATTAGAACCGGGTTCGTGGGAGGGGGGCGGACACGCAAAGAATATTCTCTCTCAAGGCAGTTCTTCTACAAATATTGGATAAAGTAGAGCTTCTACGTCAACCTACGGTCTTCCCAGATGTCCCACCAGCTTCACGACATGCCTGGTCGGTGTTCAGGCTGGTTTTATGAGTCTACTCGAGTCCAGACTTCGCCAAGTATTTGCCAAGTTGATGCAAACATGGCCACTGGCATACCGGAAGTGTTCACCGAAACTGTCCCGTATTAACTTCCGGGTCATCTTTAGGCCACGCCGCGGCAAGTAATTTTCATGGATGACATCATCGCGCGCAGTAATTTTCGCCTGATTTTGGGGAAAAATACAAGAAATTTTGTTGCCTTCTGACAGTTGTCAACATGCCGAAAATGGGCAAAGATGTCTGTTGCCATGCCGGAACGTGGATAGCAGATAAATATGAAGAGAGGAGATTGAAAATAAATATTTAGAGAGAGTTTTGTCTTTTACTTTGATGCAGTGGTGTATTTCATTCTTTTTGTATGTGGCTGTGTATATGTGATGTTCCCACTGAATAAAAACAATGATTGAAAACATTTATTTTTCGGCGAAGTAGTTTCAGTACAGTGAGGATCAATAGCTGACAGTTTCGCCCTATCGCATTAGATCTTGGGTGTGCGGAGGATGCCATCCATAAAATTTACTTGCTGTGGCCTTAGCAATAAACCAATTAATATCTTGACTATCCTCCAAAAGTCAGTGTGATAACATTATATTATAATGACTTGAACGATGTCATTCGGCGTTTGTGATAAAAACTGCAAACATATAACTTTACTTGGGTAAATGTTTTCCTTTTGCACCCACGAATCTGACAACAAATTTAGAATTGAGAATTAAGTTTTTTTGTTCTTTTCAACATGGAACATGTGGTTTGTAACGTTACAGCATCAGTATAGCGTCACCACTATAACGTTAGTTACAAACCACATATTAAAAAAAATTCATTCTCTATTTGTTTTCAGATTCAACCCATAGTAATTTAATTATAGCCTCTACCAGGCACCGCGGATCGCTGGAAAAATAGTAGAAATTGGCCGAAATAAAGGGATAGTATACCAGAGAAGATCCAGGGCCATCTTCTCTAGTATACTATCCCTTTATTTCGGCCAATTTCTACTATTTTTCCTAGCGATCCGCGGTGCCTGGTAGAGGCTACACAGCACTAACTGTGAGTGACCAGTGCTCATTTGCCAGTTTGTAATGCGATAATCTACCT